ACTATTTCGATTGCCAGTAAAATTCGACAGAGAAATTAAAGCCGAATTTCATTTCAGCTGGCTTTGAGTAAATATTCATTTGGCCCCGTCAATTGCTGGCCACAAATCAGCAGTGAAAACTGTCAAAAATCACACGAGACTCGCTGATAAGTAAAGCCCCAATCGAAATGTATACAGACACACACACACACACACACACACACACACATTGGCATTGGCCATATATGAATTGTAATCATGGCTATTTTGTGCGCCATGTGAATTAGTTAACGTTTGCGCACGGCCAAAATTACAATCACAGTACAGACACAAATATGGGTGGTGCTGTGGGTGGTGTGGGTGGTTGCGGGTGGTGCAAAGCTCAGCTGCAGCGTGGCTGTAATAAATTTCGTTGGCATACAAAATGGCCGGCCAATACAACAATGGCGCGCAATACGGAAATAATTCAAGTCCCGGAATCGGAATCGGAATTGGAATTGGTGCTGGGGCCAAAGTTGGAGCTCGCATCGAAGCAGCGTAGCGGCCATAATAATAATAATAATAATAATAATAATAAGAATCATAATAATAAGAATAGTAATGAAAATAATATGCTTATCAGTGTAGCCAAATGTAGCCCGGGCAGGTGCTCGCCGTATCGCACCGCCTCAGCGCACCACAGTTGCGGCAATAAAATTGTTATTTTTGCGATTTATTATTAGAGTGCATTTGGGGCTTTCGCTGTGCACCACGACCCCCCCTCCCCCACACACACACACAGCCGTCGCAATTGTGTACGCAACGCGTTTGCCCATTAAATTATGGGGTGTTAGTTTTATTGATTGTGCGGCTGTGGGCGTGGCACCAAGAAGGCTGCTAACCCAATCTCACTCTCTCACTCTCTCTCTCTCCATCTCTCTTGTTGCTTGATTTACTGGCCATGTTATTCGTTAGCTTGTTCTGTTTTTGTTTTTGTTATTTTTCGATTTGTTATTGACCGCTGCGCAAATTAAATACAATTGCCCCCAAGGGGGGCGGGGGAGGAGGTGGCACGCCTTATCTACTTCTGTTTGCCCATCGCCTGTACAATTATGCGAAAATTATGAAAGGAAGCACGCGCTCAAGGAAGAATGCCTCTGGTTGGCCCCGCCCATTCGGGCCGCTGTAATTCCTTGCCTATCTCATTGCAGGCAGCTCGCATATTTGGCCACTAAATTAGCATAAGTCCCACTGTCAATGCAGTGTATGCAGATGAGATTATTAAAATTGCATTTCTGTTGCAGTTTACTATGCAATGAGTGCGGCGTGTGATATATATGTATATAAATATTTCATAATATGCAGAGCAGTATGAAAGGAAGTTCTTATAGAATGGGAAATATTTGAAATATTAAATGGTTTCTGATTTTACATTCTTTTAGATTGTACAGTCGAGTCTCGATGATTCGAAATGACAAGGCGATCTGTTTTTTTTTTTTTTTTTTTTTTTCGATTTATACAGAAATTTAAATTATCGAGAACGAATTTTTTTCAAGGGTTAGAACTTTATTCGATTTATCGCTATTATTTATTTAGTGGGGTACAAATATATTAGTTGGGTATATATATTATATATTATTTTATTAGTAAATTGAACATTATGCATATAAATACTTGGGCTTAGCTGGGAATGCTTCATACTCGCCTGAGGTGGAGCTGCCAGAATTTGTAACTGCTTGCTGGATCTACTATAAGCTACACTGCTTGCCAATTGGACTACTCTGTGCACTGCTTGCTAGATCGACTTTTAATCGATTAGCTTCAGTACATGTCATCCAAATATTAATTGTAGAATCCAAACTGTACCGAAACTGCTCAACTGAGAGATGCAACGTCTAGGCCTTTACATTACTTTGACATTTACCAAATGTAAAATATATATAAATTTTTTTTTATCTTTAACACATGAAGTATAATTTATTTTCAAATGGCAGGACTTTTCAATTTTGTGAAGGTATCATTACAGCATTACCAATATATAGAACCAGCAATGGTATATAATTTTCACAAATATCTTCACTCCTACTGGATCAAATAGAAATCCTTTCTAAATATATCCACATTTAAACATCAACTGCAATATAAATTATGACAAATAATATCACTCTTCCTGGGTCAGCCCCAATTTCAATTATATATCAATAATTTTCATCACTTTCATCCAATATGAAGCATATTTTTGACCTATTTTATGGCTTAATTGTGTTGCGAATCTTCTGTGTCTCGAGTCTCGCCGCAATATGTCACAAAATTGACTTCTTAAATTTTTTTTCGGGCACACATTGTGCTTAAAGCAGTCTTAACTGCCACTCAAGGCGTTTCGCATTGGGCTTTATGGGCCAGAATTGTGCTCAACCAGCGCAATGTGACAATAAAAGGCTCATAAAAATGTATTAGCTTTGCTGGCAAGAGAGAGAGAGAGAGAGAGAGAAAGAGAGAGAGAGAGGGAGAGAGAGACAGAGTGGGAGAGAGAGAGAGTGGAGACGTCATAGTCATGCTCGGCTGGCAACTTTTTGCCTATGTGTGCGGCAGCTGCAACTTTTGCCGCCAGCCCAGCTCAATGCGGCAACATCAAAACATCCAACTTGAAGTTGAAAAGCTGTCGCAGCAGTTGGAGCAGCACAGGTGTTATCATCGATACCGTTGACGTTTGCTTCCTGCTTCTCCGACAGAGAAAGAGCAAGAGAGAAAGAGAGAGGGGGGAGTGGGAGTGGCAGTGGGAGCTAGCGCAACACTCAGGGCAGCCACCTTGAAACATCCACTTGAAGTATTGCTACGCCAGCACCTGCTCTGCCTCTACCTCTGCCTGGCCCTCTCTTACTCCCACTCACTACCTCCCTCTCCCTCTCTCGCTCTATCGCTCTTTGCCTGCCTGCTGCATTTCTACAAATCGTGCGACTTTTGAGCAATTGAAACGCGCGCTTCGCCTTTGCATTTTTTTCTTTTTATTTTTGGGCTTGGTTCGATTTTCTCTCTTTTCATTTTTTGCTGCTGTTTTTAATTTGTCACTTGAAGCAAAAGTTGCCAAAGTTGTCCCCCAGGCAGAGCGCTCAACTGAGCTCTCGATGTTGTTTGGCTGCTTGGTTGGCTACTCTGGCTTGTTGCCGCTCTCGGACAACTTTAATTAAAGTTAAGTGTTGCAATTGCAACATTGGGCATAAGCACATACACACACACACATACACAATCACATGCAAACATACATATATATGTATATCTCTATATATTTTCAACCAATATTGCACTTAGTTTTAGCTGCAGAAATTGTGTTTTGACGCTGTTAGGAAAATGTTGTAAAAACAACAATGTTACAGCTGAAGTTGAAGCTCTCGTTTCTCTCGTGTCTCGTGGCAGCCACTTTCAACAGCTGCAACATATTTATACAAGCTGCAAATAGGACCTGAGGCTTATCTTGCAACTACCGCAAACAAGTTCACATCAAATGCGAACAACCCAAAGGGGACTTGTTCGAAATTTAACAATAACAAATTGTTCATTTCTGGCGAACATCTTGAGAGTCTTTTTGCCGATGAATAATCGATATTTTATTTGAAGTAGTTTAATTGACTTATAACGCTGTTTGTGTCATTTGAACAACGCATGTCATAGCTAGCAAATGGAATAGCTTAAAGGAACTTGTCCGAATTTCTTTTTCAATAAATGCATTACATTTTTCATTTTATGAAATCTTTTAATCGATTTTTTAATGTTTTACTGAAACAATAGGAATCAGCTGAAGCCGTCCCTTCAGGATCATATTTTCGTTAGTTAACATAAAATGTTATTAGCAGCGTAATGCCATACAGCTGTACATACAGCTATGAGCTTCTATGTTAAGTCAACAGTGAGTCTCAAAGTGCTAAAAAAAAGTCTGTTAGGCAACATAAGAACAGTTCTAAGAATGTAAAGCTTTTGTGTAATATGGACAATTTGACATTGATGCTGCTTTAGGTAATATGAGATAAATGTATTATTCAAAAGTATATTAATAAATGTATGCATACAATATGTATAAAAAACAGGATTAAAAAATAAATAAATAAAAAACAAAATGAAATTGAAAAAATATATAAAAAATATCAATATAATTTATAAAGCAAAACAAAAATAGAAATTACAAAAATACATATATTTATCATTTTTATTGTATATTATTTTTATAGCCCACACTTTTCTTATTTTTATTATTATTTATTTTAATATTACTAAATTAATTTTATTTAATTTTTAAAATTATTTTAAAACTGATATTCTCACTCTTGTTTCTTATACAAATTTAAAAATATATATATTCTTAACTACTGCTCAATTAAAATATATATAAATTAAAATATTATAAATTTAAATATTTTTTCGGAACCCATTATAAATAAAAAAAATGTTTAACTCACAGCTTGCCTCAGTATTAACCTATATAAATTGGTTCCTCTACCTTCGTATGAAACAAGAAAAGAAAAATGATGTTCCACTTAACACAAACAACTTTGTATAGTTTTTCTCTCCTGTGTGTTGCACACTATTTTCTTTGATATCTCAAGCAGCTTGCCTTAAGTGCCTCGATGCTCCCAGACTTTAAACAGTCCGATAAGATATTTTATTGGCTTTGGCATATATGCTAACCTTTACAAGTATATTTTTGCTGCGTATATATGTATATGGGAGTGTAGGGAGTGGGGTTAAAATGACTAGCTGCGAGCGCAGTGTAAATTAACCTAAATCGCATGTAAGCCGCTTGTCACACAACATTCTTAGGCATATTAAAAAAAAAAAAAAAAGAAATGAGAAAAGATACGGCCGTGAGTTGGCAGTATAGGCCACACACACACACACGCACACATTTACATATGTATATGAATATGTATATGTATATGTGGGCTGCACATATGCATATCATAATCTCTATTTATCACGCTCCCACTCAGTATATCCATCTATATATATATATATATCTCACTCTCTCTCTCTCTCTCTCACTCTTGCAGATGATGTTCTATTCTCACGTCGCGGCCGCATGGGACGCATTGTGAGTCCGCGTCACACGCTTCCGCCGAACACAACGTGCACGTACCACTTTCACGGATATCCTGGTGACCTGATTTGGTTATCGTTCACCAGCTACAATCTGCAGATACTGCAGCAGGCGATACACGACAACAATACGCTGGGACGGGTGAGTGAAAACGTTTGAGATGACTACCATACCATGCCACAACATCGGCTTCCCTGCCCCCCCCACGCAATTGAAATTTGGGTTGGGCCCCGTAACAGTTTGCATAAATGCATAAAATGTATGCTAGCCATAGGTGGGTGGCTGTGGGTTGGTAGCAGCAGCTCCAGCTCCAGGAGCTGCAGCTGCTGTGCTGAAGTATCCAAGCTGTTTGCATTGTATGCTTAAACGCGTCGCGCGCTCCACGCGCCCAGAGCCAGATCCACTAGACTATTGTCTTGATTTCTATATATGCTATTAGTGCCAGTCGAGCGACACTTTGTCTTCTCACCCAATTAAAATGTTGCCGCTCGTGTGAATAGAAGCGAAAGACACCAACACACACGCACACACACACACATACACACATACATATAGTCGCACTTACGCCTATAGCAGCTGGCAAGGACTCCACGTTGTAGGGGAGTGTGACCAGGGGATTTTGACATTTCGTTTTAAGTCTAAATACTAAAGTCTACCCGGAGGCTAAATGAAACTGCGTCAAAATGCGACGCCAGCAACAACAATGCAACAACTGTGGCGAGTAGTTGAAGCAACAACAACAACAAGAACAACATCAGTAACATCAGCAACAACAACAATGGCAACACCTTGTGTCACTCGGGTGTTGAGCGCATTTTTAATGTGCGTTGTTGCCGGCTGTCTAACGGCCTGTAAATTGTGTCAAGGTACAAACTATTCGCATACATAACAGCTGCTTGGCGTCGAGCAAAAAAAAAAGAGAAATAACGGCTACAAATGGAGTAGTCAGTGCGTTGATGAGTGGGTCAAAGGGTCGGACAATAAGCGAGTAAATGGTTTTTTAGGGCAAATAACTACGTTTATTTCCTAAATAACAACTGAAGATAATGTAAAAGGACCTTAACGGATATCATACATAAAAGTTGTAAAGCTTAAAGCTGGGATATAACATAAACTGAGAGTAAATAACAACGGCAGCTTAATGTGTACTCTGTTAATAGTATAACATGAGCTGTTAATAAGAAAGCCAACAGAATATCGTATATTTAACACAGTAACAGTAAGACTTTTGCTGCAATAACATATTAACAACAGAGGCACTAGCTTATAACAGCTATTTGGCATATGTGGATAACTGAAGAGAATGAAACAGATCAGATGTAATCTTGCATTACTCTCTTCCCAATACCTGCTCACTGCTAAAAGACTCCGAGTATCACTCAATCAGGCAGCCTGCCATACATATGTATGTGTGCTCTCTGCATAATAAAGAGCAAAGCTGTTATACTACAGCTCTACCTACACACGCTGTTAATAACAGAAATTACTCAATGCATCTCATCCGCTTAGCATGCCTTTAAAATGTCTGCAGCACTGCTGTTAAGCCTATTAGCTTAAACTCGAGAAGCATTTAAGCAATCAACTCAAGGTATTCTTTATAATTGAGTTGGTTTTCATAGAGCATCCACCTTCCTCTGCTGTCCCGCCTGTCGTATGTGAGAACATGCAATCGTCTATTAGGCAAACTCCACCTGTCTGTGTCTTGGGCGTGGATATAAATTGCTTCAAGTAGCTCAACTTTTTCAAGGTCTCTTTTTCTGTCTAGACGCTCCAGAGAAGGAGAGACAGGCGGCGTCTAATACTGTTGTTTTGGTAACAGAGTTTTCGGGCACTTGAGAGATTGTTGCGACTTGAATTTACTGCCAATTAATTTCGAAAATCCCAATGCAGACAGACACCTGCACGAAAAAAAATGAGAGCTCATCAGCTGTTCGTTAAGCTCTGCGCACTTGTTTTGGTAGGGTAAAAAGCAAAAAAACAAAAACGAAAACGTGGATTGCTGGAGCTCGCCTGCTGCCACTTCAAGGATTGGCGACAACAAACACTCGCATCCTTGCTTTAGTCGCTGCTGGATGCAGTGTCCGTGTCAATTGCAGTTGCCTCACCTACACTTTAAATTGTAAAAAATGAAAAGCTGCCAGCAGCGAATAAAAACAACTGCAGAGTAACTGTAGCCCCGCCACATCTCCCTCTCGCACTCACACACACACACACACATACACACAGTTCATGGCTCCATAATTTCCACCCACTCCCCCACTCGGCCAGTGGAACAATAAAAAGTGACAGAACAAAAATATGTGTGTAAAATAAAACAGGGGCAACAGCAGCAGAAACAGAAGCAGAAGCAGAGGCAGAGGCAGCGGCAGAGGCAACAAAAACAGTTCATGAATTTTGTAACAGCAACAAAAGCGACAAAAACAAACAGCAGGTATAACAGCTACAATAACAACAACGACAATCAACACTTGCAGGAGCATAAGACGAGAGAGCAAAGAGCGAGGAGAGGAACGTGAACAGTTGGTACGTGGGTAGAAGCGAAATTGAAGGGAATTTGCACAACAACAACAACTGTAAAAAAATGCTAGAAAACTTTTTAAATTAAGAAGCAAAGTTAAAACTCCAAACAAAAAACATGTAATACAAAAAAGAGAGACGGAGTGAGATAGAGAGCAACAGAAGTGAGTTGAAAACAGTGGGCGATTGCAAAACAATGCGCAAAAAAAAAAAAAAAAAAAAAAAAATAACGGTGCGACATTTATGAGAGCCAAACATACAAATGGTGACGTTTCGCGAACGCCTCTCCCACTACCATTCCCATTCCCTCTCCCACTCTTCAGCAGCCTAACGGCACGAGCAGTTGTCAAAAGAGAGCGTAATATAGAGCGAGAGAGGAGCAGAGCCAGCACCCCAGTTGGAAACGCGACAGGACTTAGGCTTACAGAAACTCCAATTTGAAGGCACTTAACAGCTTCACAAGTCTGCTTCAAACTGTCATATGGTTAAGAATGAGGCTGAGCAGATGGCAGGTGGCAGGTGGCAGGTGGCAAGGCGTGCGAAAAGTTAGCTGCAAATTCTTGAATAAGCTCAAAAGGGGGGCCACATTTCCCAGGGGCTTTCAACAAGTTCAAGGTAAATAAGAAGAGAGAGTAAAAAGCAGCCACAGGAAAATAAAAAACAAATATATTTTAACATAAAAAAAAGTCAATCAAATGAAAGTGTATGAACGAATAAATAAAAATATTTACCTTAAATTAAAAAACATAAAAAAAAGAATAATAGTAAAAAACAGAAAGCCAACCCGTTTAAATCTGCTTAAACAGAGCTGCTTGGTGTCTTCTGTCCTCTTCAAATTCAGCACCAACTTTTACAGATTTTTTTTCTGCTGTTGTTTTTGTTGGTGTTGTTGTTGCTGTTGTTGTGCCTGACATAAGCCACAGCTGTTTGTAACTGTCTTTTCATTATTAACACAGTCAACAATAATCACTGCCTAGACACGAAAAGGAAAACATTTCCAACAGGCGTCTAGTGAAAATATTTAATGCCTGCAAACAGCCTGCCGGAGATGGGGAAGCCGAAGAAGAAGCAGAAACCGTAGCAGAAGCAGAGCAAAGCAAATGAAGTAGCTGAAGGAGATGACGAAGAAGCAGACGCGCAAAAACAACATGAAAACATGACAACAGCAGTGACAAAACGTGAAAAGACAAATATCTCACACTTGCAACTGACTCTCATTGCCGCTGTTTGAATATGTGACATATGACAAACATGTTGAATGAAGAGCGACGTTGGGCGGCGGAGCAGCAGGAATTGTTAGCACTAACGGAATGCGAGCTGGCCGACGACAACAAGACAAACAGACACAAACTAACACTAACAAAACAAACGCACAGAGGGCAGCAAAGAACACTGAGTTAGAGAGCGAGAAAGGAAGAGTGAGAGCGGAATAAAGCGGAAAAAAATATGCGTGAAGATAAACTGAAAGCTGAGCATAATGCGTTTAGAGCTGAAAAGCTGTGAATTTTTCTTATAAGTCTTTAATACAGAGCGCTGTTAGCTTTAACATTGCGACTGTTAATAACATTATCCAATTGGTTTTAGCGTTTAAAAACTGTATATTAATTCTTTTATATACAGACCCATGTGAACTTTAACATAGCTGTCTGCTTCTGCAGCCACTCTTCATTTAATACAGACCACTGTTAAAAGACACAATCGTGATACAGGCCACTGTTAGCTATAACATTTCTATCTTTTACTAACATTATCTCATCTATTACAGAGCGATCTGCCGCCTTGGATAACACGTTTGCGTATGTGGGACAGCTATGGCACCTATTTGCCCATCAAATCGACGAGTGTGACCACAGGACAGCCGCCCCCACCCCCGCCGGTGGCATCCTCGGCAGATGGTGGCAAGCCAACGCTGTTGAATCAAAGCAACTATGGCAGCTATTACTACAGCGCCAGCAATCCGAAGCTGAATCGCAATTTGCGGGTCAACATTGACAATGCCTGGAATCCGGTCGACACATACATCTATGGGCCCACACAGGCGAGTGTGTTTAATCAGGAGAACAAGTACAGCGGCTATCAGGGTGGTGCCGGAGGTGGTGGTGGTGGTGCGGCCAGTGGTGCTGGCAAGCAGCTCGGCGGCATTAAAGACAGCCTCAATTATATATCGACGGGCAAATCAAATCGCGACGGCAGCGGCGCCTCGGCTGCAGCTGTGCTCAGCTCTGATAAGAACAGTCAGAGCGCCGTTTCGCTGATGAGCACCAAGGGCAAACGACGCCTCATGCTGGAGATCTACGACTACGAGACGCCCAAGCTCTGCGATCACACGGCCATCGGCAGCGGCGTCAGCGGCAGCAGCGCCCTAATGGGCGGCAACAAGCAGCGGCCCTGCAGTCCACTGGAGAGCTATGTGAGCACTGGCAGAGATTTGGTAAGTGGAAAAGAAAAAATACAATACTAAATACGGGATAACTATAGTAAATTTGGATAAAGCTTAAAAAATACTAACAATTTGATAATTTGATAAAAATCAATTATATTTGGTGAGTGGAAAAGGAAAAAAATACTAAATACTGGATAATAATACCAAAATTGGATAAAGCTAAAAAATACTAACGATTTGACCATTTTACTTTTTGGAAATCAATTATATTTCCGTCTCATGTATAAAATCTGCATAAATTTGAAATTTCCCTAAATTCATTCATTCATTTCCCAGTGTTGGTAAACGAACTCTCACTCAAATAGACGGTTAAGTACACAGTCTTTATCATGAATTTGCCTAACAATACAGTAATTGCACACGTAAAAATAAATATCCAGCTGTAGCTACATTCTTCAAGCATCCTTAAGATATGCTTCAGTTATTTCTCGACATTTGCTTTAAAGCCGAAATTATGCAACACTCGTGTCTACAGACAAATGAGAGTCCGTAAAAATGTAGCCTGCTCTCGGGCATTGGCTTGGAAATTTCATTGTTTACTTTGGCAGTAGCAACAAAAAAAACACAAAAAAAAAAGCCAAATTTGTTGAACTTAAGAAAACACAAAAAGCAAAATGCAAAAAAAGAAACGAAAACAAAATGAAAAGAAAATAAAAAGAGCCTCGAGTTTATTGTATTTCAAGCTACTAAACAGTCAGCTGCAGTTGCGTTGACTCCGGCTACGACTCCGGCTCTGGCTCGCCCCCAACAATTACCTGGAAGCGAGCGCGGAGGCAAGCCAACGAAATTTGGCACAGTGCAAATTTGTATTTGCCTAAAACTTGACAAAATTAATCAAATTAAACACTCGACTGCATCGCCAGACGTGCACAAATAACGACAAGCGACAAACGAGGCCAGAGCGAATCCAGTTGGCCCACGGCGGCTTCTTTGACTGCTGGCAAAATTCAAATTCGGGTAGGGGTAGTTCCAATTGCGGGCCTAGCAAATAGAGGGGGACCGCAATAAGCTTGCTTAGCCTTTTTGAGTGTCGCAAATATGAACTGCAAATATTTTGACGCCAAATTGAAGCGTTGCCAGCTACACTGAGCGAAAAAGTCAAGCAGCAGCAGCTCAATCAAGAAATCAAGGAATTTTTTTTTTTCGGGTCACAGCTAAAGTAAATATGCAACTTTTGGCAGCCAAACTCGAGCGAGGCTTTTATCGCCCGTTTTCTCTCAGTGCACACTGCGCACACTAATTTTGTTCTTTTGCCGTGCTATTTGCAGAAACTGGAGTTCCACACGCACACGGGCACCGCCCTGTTTCCCGCTCAATTTGCACTGAACTACGAGTTTGTGGACACGGAACAGGGCGGCGAGACGTGGCCAGGGCGACGTGGCGAGGATCCGGTGCCGCCGCTCTGCTCACGTGTCTTCCGCAAGCGCAAGGGCAACATTCAGGTGCCGCGCAACGTGTTCCTCTATGGCCGGGGCGGGGCGAAGAACATCAGCTGCCTGTACCGGTTCGAGGCGGGGCCGTCGGAGCGCGTCAAGCTGGTGCTGCACAATGTCTCATTTGGCGAGGGCACCGCCTGCACTACCGACTCGGATCTGCATACGGGCCGGCCGCGCTGCAATCAACTGGATCCCGAGGGCCGCATCACCGAGCTGCGGCTGTACGATGTGCCCTTCCGAGATGTGAAAATCCAGCTGGGCTGCTTCTGCGACAACTCCAGCGCCCTCTACAGCAACGCACCGTTGACCTTTGTCTCGCACTCGCGCATCATGGAGCTGACCTTCACGGTGACGCGCCTCAACATCTCCGAAGACTTTGCCGACGTCTTCTTCTCGGCCTCGTATGAGTTCAAGCGCCAGCCGGATTGCCGCAAGCAGCTGAAACTGAAAGGCGCCGGCGGCGAGGACGAACTCAAGTATCCGCTGAAGACCCAGGACGCCAGCTGCGAGGGCCTCGCCTGGTACATCGAGGCGCAGTCGTCGGAGCGTTCCCTCTTCGTTCAGACCTGGGGCGCCTATCTGCCCGTCGATCCCACCTCCGAGGATGCCATGCGCTGTCATACCAAGAACCGGCTGATGGTCTACTCGGGCCGCCCCCTGAAGCCCATGCGCGTCGTCTGCCCCGCCCAGAGCGGCCCCCGGCCGACGTCCCTGCACATATTCTCCGAGGACTGGACCAATGGCCAGCCATTATTTATGAACAAGTAAGTGGAGTGCGCTGCATATTAATGACAACTTCAATTTATATAAAAATCAGCTCTCTCAAGGCTCAGTCAGGAAGAGAGCTTAAAGCTGATATAACGGGTTTATTTTGGGGTCTCTTCAATGATTTGGATTTGTAGTTTGAAGCTTGGCAGAAAACTTTTGCTTTATATATACCAAAAGCTTTAATGCGCTTTTGACAAAGCTTTAACACAAAGTTTTAATGCTTAGTATATGAAGTTTGCCTAATCTTTATACTCTGCTGATTTCAACTTTTTATAGCTTCATTTGACTCCATAAATTAGCTGCTGTGCCTAAAAAAGCTTTTTAAAATATATAGACTTCATAAATATTTTAGATAGCTTTAAAATAATGCATTCTCTTAATTATATTTATCCTTTTTAATGCCTTAAGGTCTTACCGGAAAGCTTAGCTAAATAATGAGCTGAATCCTGTAGCTCTTATATTGAGCTATCATAGCTTATCATAAGCTTTAGAAGTTTATTTTGAGATATTTAAATATATTTTATTTGTTAATTTTCTTGACTTAATTGCATTTTGTGAAAGCTGTTTTTGAACCAATTAAGATATTACAGAAAAATAGTCTAATAAAAAAGAGGAGGAAAAATAATGTATTTAGTTTAACTTTAAAGAATATTAATTTCAAAATTTTTATTATATTATAATATTATAATAATATAATATACATATTATAATTTTACATATTTTTACACAAGAATAAAGTTCTTAGTTAGACGATAAAAGAGTTTTAGTTTTTAAAAATCCTATCCTATCCTGCGCTTGGCTCTCCTATAGCTTTTGCTCGCTTTCAGAGCTCATCTTGATAACGCGCTCTCTCTCTCTCCCTCTCTCTCTTTCGCTCTCTCTCCCTCTATCTCTTTCTCTCTTTCTCTCTCTCCCTTTTGTTTTCGTTGCCATTCTCATCGACTATCATTGTGGCTTTTAGTGAGTGAGTTGCAAAGCGCTCGATTAATTATCTAAAAGGCTCGACACGCTCATTAGTGGACGCTGTCTGGCCCGATCCGTAGCTGCAGCCGGAAGCAGGACACACTGTCAATTACCCTTTGGGGTGTCGTAAAAATATGCTTCCACATGGCCGTGCTGTATGCTTTATATGTTTTTTTTACACTTCTCATGCCACAATTTCTTATTTTTTTTTTATGGCTGGCGACAAATTTGAGCTGCAGTTGCACATAAAATTGAATGGCAACACGTTTGGGGCAGCAACAGCCGCAGCCACAGCAGAGGCAGCAAAACTGACCAAAGTCGAGTTCATTCTCGTGGCACGCACCTTGAACATAAATTGCCACAGAGCTCACTTCAGCCCGCCGCAGCGCAGCCCAAGTGGATATTTTTGCATGCTTTTCAACGAGCCCCGTGTGTGTGTGTGTGTGTGTGAGTGTGTGTGTGTCTGTCGGCCATGTTTGTTTGCCTGAATGGTTTCTTTTTGCCTTCTTTGTGCTCAATTTCCTGTGTTTTGTTGTAGCCGCTGTAGCCATTTCCTGTTATTGCATTTTTAAGCAGCCCGTTTTTTTTTATACTCCCTCTCCCTATCTCCCTCTCTCTCTCACACCCACTGTTAGATAGAAGCTCAAAAGAGTCGGAGGGCTCAGCAAATTGAGAGCACGCTGGTCGAGCAGTTGTTAAATTGCAATTAGTTTGCGGTTGAACACAAAATAAAAAATATATATATATATATATATATAAATAAAAAAAAATAAAATAAAAACATTATTCACTTCGAGAGGCTTCTGTTAAAATGCTTTATATGCATATACATTTTGGCTGAAAACTAATGGCTGAGCGAGCAAAGCTCCCATGCGCATATCATTAAAACCCATTTGCGTTTAAAGTGCTCCAAAAATACTTCCTGCACACTTTTATTATCCGAAATCTTTTATTTTATTTTATTTTATTTTTAATATTTTGGTCGAGCTAAAATGGTTTCAAGTGTTGCTGCTGTTTGGATTTGTTTCGAGCGTCAATTGAACGCCAGTGTTTGAGTGCAAAAAGCTAATGCACGGATTTTGGATGGGATTAAGGTGGCAAGCAGAGATTTTTTCAATAAATTGCGCTGATGTGTGAGCTGCTAAAAAATGGAGTTAAAATTGTTGAAAATTGGCTCAATAGTTTTTTTATGTCTGAAAATATATTTGGTATTTAAATTCATTTTTTAAGTATATTAATTTATAGTCAAAATAGAGTTTCTTCATTTAAAAATGTATTTGGTATTTCAATAAATTTTTTAAAGCATGTAAAACAGTTTTTCTTTATTTAAAATATATTTGGTATTTAAATCTTTTAATGTATAATCATAAGAAATACTTCAATATTACAAAACGATTTTTTTTTTTTTTTTTGTCCAAAACTATATTTAATCATATGAAGAGTTTCAGCGCCTTTTTTTTTTTTTGTATTTTCTTCTATCAAATGAAATATTTAGTATATTTAATATTTAAATTTTTCAAAGAATGTTAAAAACATTGCAAAACTTTTTTTTTTTTTTTTCATATGAAAATTTTAATTTTTATATTTTCTTCTATCAAATGAAATACTTTAATATATTTAGTATTAACATTTTTAGAGCATGTCTAAAATATTGCAAAAGGACATTTTTTTGTCTTAAAATAAATTTAATCTTATAAGGAGTTTTAACACTGTCTTATTTATACTTTCTTCTATTAAATGAAAGTTAGGCAAATCTCCATAAATATTTCAGCATTTAAACTTAGACTTCATTAAAACAATAGCTCGCTCACAAAATATCTTAAAATATGCCAAATAAATTGATTGATTGACGTCTGCTTTTGAGCCTTGAGCCAATTGCAGCTCTTCTCAGCTGATTTGGCACTCAAGGCACTCAATTTAAATATAATGCCAGCCCTGGTGGTGTATTCAGCACTCGAGCGCATTAAGCAGATATACTAAATGCGTTAATGTTAATGGCAGAATCATCGTCTTGGCCCACTTAAAAGTCAGTCGTGGCGCACTGAATAATAGACGAGGATTTTGTCTATGTGGGGAAAGAGATAGAGAGATAGTGAGAGAGAGAGGAGGGTGGGGGGAGTTGCGCGTAATTAGTTGCAGTTGAGCAACTGACGGCCAAAGGAATATCCGAATGCGAGTATTCCTTACTTTATTCAGCCAAAAACTTGCTCCAAAGTTATGTGGAGCATGGCGAGCAGCTGCATGACAGCCACAGGGCTTGCACTTTGAATTGAAGACAGAGAGATAAAGAGACTGAGAGAGTGAGAGAGAGAGAGAGAGAGCAGGAGGAGGAGGAGAATGGGTAGCCAAAAATGTTTACAACTTTACTCACTCACTTTTGTACTCTTGCAGACCCATCAGCCTGGTGCTGGAGCCCATCCTCAAGGAGCCCGGTGACATAGCCTTCACATGGCTGGAGATACATCGCACCAAGAATGCGTTGCTGCAGCAACTGGACCTGCATGTGAATGCAAGCGTAACCACGGGCTTGGCCACACCACCCAGCAGCAGTAGTGGTGGTGGTGCTGGTGGTGGTGCCGTTGTGGGCACTGGCAGCGCTGGCGTTGCTGGCGCTGGAAGCGTTGCGACTAGCGCAGCAGCCAATGAAACGCTGAACGAATTTGGTTTCTATCCCAAGGAGTCGGATTGCGAGTACAAATGCCCCGAAATTGATGCATGCATAGCAGCCAGCCTGTGGTGCGATGGTAAGTGCACGATTCCACGGGTTGCCACTGAGGTTCCTTTGCGGTGATGACATATGGAGCGGGAAATGAAAATGGGGAAAATTAGAGAAAATGTGAGAAGATTACTGAGATGTTTTAAAGACAAAGTGATACTATTATTCCATTTATTTATTTATTATTTATTTGTTTGTGGATATTAGAATAAAACAAAAATATTTTTTTAATTTTTCTGTTCTATTGAGGTTTGTTTCCCTTGAATAATTTTTTAATATTCATGTAAAACTTGTTTTATACATTTATTGCATAATAAGCATTGATCAATGAATATTAAATAAATTTTCAAGGGAAATAAATCTCAATAAAATTAAAAAATAAATAATTAAAAAATTATTTTCTATTGATTCTAATCTCTTTTGAATGAATAAAAGTAACACTTAGAATTTTATACAACTCAGCAACAATTAAGACTAACTCAAATCTTAAGCACTGGAAGCTGGGGCATTTGGCTTGCCTTATTATTAACACTACATAACTGAGAGCCTGATGAGAGTGTCCTAATATGTCCGCTCAAACTTATTCATAGCAATCCCCTATAATTGAGCTTTTTGATAATTCTCTTGAATGCAAATATTGGATGTACATATTCGACTTGGTTCGTCTACTTGAACTAAATAAAATTATTATTATTATCTATGCAAAATAGGTTTTCTTTAATTAAAAAAAAAGAAAAATCTCAGACCTTTTTTTTTTTTTTGTATAAAGAGAAACACAATTTTTTTGGCATAGATAATAATAATCATGTAATTTAGTTAAAGTAGATTTATTGACATCACTATTTGAATAAGATATCTTTCAAATGGCCACCTCTTGCTCGATTCAGTCAAAAGATATAGGGTTGCCAGATGGGTTTGTTAAATATGGACAGCTCTTATATTTCCTTGCATGCCAAAGGATTGCTATATTTCAGTTTTCTTGTCGAATCTTGCTAACTTTGCAAGCAGCCCTCGCCAAGACATAAGTTTGCATTACGAGTACGTGATTTTTGGGCTGTTTTGGACTGTTTGGCCCACTGCCACATCAACATCAACATCCTCATCCTCTTAGCCACTGCCAATGCAATTGCTGTTGGTGTTGCGTTTGCTGTCCAAAGGCTCGACGCTTGCGAGCAGGCAACAGAAATTTCACTTGTGGTTGCTTCTCTGTTAATTTCATTGCAAGCTGCTGCTGCTGTTGCTGCTGCGGCTGCTGCTGTTGCTGCTACTGTTGCTGCTGCTGCTGCTGCTGCTGCTGTTGCTGCTGCTGTTGCTACTGTTGCTACTGCTGGCCACGTTTTTGTAATCAGGCAAAGTTTTCTGACAACTGCACAAAGCATTGCTGCCACTGCAAGTTGCTGCGGGTTGTGTCCACCAAAGCCGCCCCAAAAAATATCTTCTACAAAAGTTTGGCCACAGCCGCAGCTGGCGTCGAGTGGGGCTGGACAGGAGTCGCCTTTTAGCTTCAATTATTTATGGGCAACCAGGCGCGCATGCAACTGAGCTGCTTAACCAAAAAGGCAGCGCATTAAACAAGCTAACCAACCAAGCGCTGGCCCAATCCCAGTTCCAGTTCCATTTCCACACCCACTCCCAGCCCAGATCAAGCAGCTGGGCAGCTGGGCAACCAGGGACCACTCGAGTGACACTGGGCCGCCGCTGGGTCTTTCAATTTGGCAAACCCGTGGTCGTTACCGTAACCTGACCGACGACCGCACAGATTTCTTTTCAATCAATGCTCCCTATATGTATATATCTTGCCTTGCAGGTCATCACAACTGTCCCAGCGGGTTCGATGAGTCCGAGGAGGAGTGCGGCACGGCGCGCAAGCTGCTGGAGCTGCCCGGCGGCGTGTTTGCGGCATTGGGTTGCATTGCCGCCGCGCTGACTGCCTGCCTGATATTCTGCATGTTTGGGCTGATGCGCAAGCGAAAAAAGTCGGTGGTGCAGAAGGGCGGCGGTGTGGGCGGCGTCGGTGGCGTCGGCGTCGGCGGCGTTGGCTTCATGAACGGCGCCAATGGCAATGGCAACGCAATGCCAGCCGCCTGCAACATTGGCACTCTGAAGAAGGACTTCAAGAAGGAGGCGCTCTACATTGATCCGGCGTCCTGACATCCACTCCAGCCGGTCGAGTACATACACGTGGATCGGGAGACCACCGTGTGATATGTTGCCGCCGGCTATGGCATGTATGAGCAAATGGAGCGAGGCCTCAATATTGCCTGACCAGAGCAGAAACTGGAGCAGGAGCAGGAGCAGACACAGCAGCAGCAGGAGCAGCAGCAGCAAAAATACTTGGAACTGGATATTGAGCGAGAGCAGATGCAACGGGAGATTATTGCTGGACCAGTGCAGGAGCTGGCATGGAGATTTTAAAGCTAAGAGTGAGTGCAAAATGGGATTTAAGAATTGAGCCAAACAGGGAGAAAGAGAACTAAGAAAAATGCTAAATTGTAAGTTCTTAACTTTTCTAAGCGCTTCAAACAAATAGAAAGAAAACAAAATAAAATAAAAAAGAACTAAATACACAATCTCTCTCTGTACGGGTGTGTGTCTGTGTGTGTGTGTGTTTCTGTGTGTGCTTGTGTGTGTGTGTGTGCGCGCCTAGACTTAAGCATAGGATTACTGATACGAATAGCTATGTGTATAGCAGTGCGTTTTTAACTAAAAAGCATTTTCGTTCTTCTCGATTTCGATAAGTAAACACTGCCTAGCAATTTCTGTAAATACATATAAGAATCTCCATAAGTGAATTTACATTTATTTTGAGCAAAGATCTGGTTGGAATGCAGATTTGGTTTTCAGTTTATAATACCTTAAGGATTTTCTGAAAATGTTAGTATACATTGGGTATATTATTTTAAGTATATTTTTAAAATATTTTGTAATTAATTTTTATATATTTTAATTTAATTTGTATAATTGAAAAAATTCGCTTAAATATTATGTATGCAATATTATATTATATTTATGCAATACTTTTAAATCTTTTTTTTTTTTACTTTTTGAATGATAAAAATTAATGGCAAAAAGAAAAAAATATAAAGAAAAATTAGAAATAAAATTTGTTATTGTATTTTTTATTTCTCCTTTATTATTTTCTTTTTTATTTTGCTTTATTTGATTATTACTATTTTTTTTATATATATATATTACGATATTTCAAATTAAATTTATTTTTATTATATAATTTTTTTTTAATGTATAATTTAATGATATTTATAAAAAATAAAAATAAAATGCATATGTATGTTACAAAATTCCATTTAATGCTGTCCAAAAACAAATGAAGCAAAAATAAATTACAGCCTAATGTGTTTTCATTATCATTATATATAAATTATTACATTAGTTTCCTTTAGCTTTTATATTTTCTATAAGTTAAACAAATATGTTAACAAATAAAACAGAAGAGAACAAGAGTTCTATTATTCGATTAAAATTACAATTTAATTTAATTAAGTTTCTTTGCTCTGCAAAAGGCTAGAAACGGCTCTAAAAAATTGATATTCTCATTTGCATTTATATGATGTATACAGTATTCATAAAGCTACTACGCAGCTGCCTTATTTCGATTATAGTTGAAGCTGCAAGAGAAAGGCAAAAACTATTTGTAAGTTAGGTACCTTAAAATATGATTAGGATAATACTGAAAGGAGAGCAGCCAATGGCATATTCAGCCTAGCACACACACACAGCACACACTGAAAGAAATGAAAACTAGTTACAATTAGCAAAAAAAAAAAAAAAAACAAAAAAACCAAAGAAGATCAGCAACTACAATTAAATTGTATAAAAGGATATACATAAAGGAAATGCAAAGAAATTCTAGTAAACTTTATGCACTCTGGCATAAGAAATAATGAAAACGAGATACATAAAAAGTTAGTAATAGTTACGATTATAACTGTTAGCTGCATTTGGTGAGGGCAAATCTCGACAGTGTTGTGAGCCACGGACAAGCACATACTGAACTATATATATACGATATATATATACGATATATATATAACTATAGCAGAACTAAGGCATACAATTCGATAAGCTGAGGCAGAGTTATCATACGATATTATGAGTATGTATAGTTATATGGTCTAGCATAGTCTATCGATAAAGCACGTGAGTTTTTTAATATAGCACACACCCACACATACACACATAGGAACACCAACTAAATAAAAGACATCACATAGTGGTTTAATTGTTATAAATTTATTCAATTAAATAAAGAAAAATATATATTTAAGATTCTGCAAAATAAAAAAACACATTTATCACAAAAAAATTAAATAAATAAAAATAAAACTGCCATAAAATGTCTTCAAGTTTCTTTAAAAAAAATAATAATTTTTTTTTATATTTAATTTAAAAGTTTTTTCGTTCACTTTTGAAGGCTCGATACATGTAAGACGCATCTCATTTGACTGCACTTAGCTTTTCCGTTGTAGCTACGAATTCCTAATGATATTATAAATAAATTAGTATTTAACATAAACAATTTGTAAAAAAATAAAAATAAATAAAAACTCACACACACACGCACACCAGCTAGAGTATAGAAAGAAGTATATGATATACGATTATAGAGTAAATTTATGCCAATTGTATGCAGTACTCTAGACACTAAGCCATAGAACCCTATATACTATATAAAATAAACTATATAATAATAACAACAATCAAATTTTTGGCAGTTTTTCCAATTAGCATAAATAAGCGAGCAAATGAGCAACTCATTTAAATGTTAAGACAAAAATACTTTATTTAACAAACAACAACAAAGAAATGCACTAAAAAATAGAAAAGAAATTTATAAAAAAAAAATTAATATAAATAAAATAAAAATTTATAGAAAAGCGCAACTAGAAATCAATTTATAAAGAATATTAAAAAGATGCATGAAAATATAATTCTGTAAAAAATTAATTTGGAAATTTTATTTGTTTTCTTATTGAAATATATGAAATAACTAAACAAATAGCCAAAAAGCGCACTTTGTACAATTTGATGAGAGATTTTTATGATTTTTGCTCACACTTACATGAAAATAATTAATATTTACACATAAGCAGAACTACAGATGAAAATTGCTGGACATGTACTGATGACGAGCAGTGTATATATGCGTATGTGGTGACCAAGCAAGAGTGTAACTATTTTCAGGGATCATTTCACAGCAGTTATTTGAGTTATTGATATTAGGTGTATTATTAAATATTCTTTAAGATTTGCTGTTTAGTTGAGCATAGAGATTGAAGGTAATTTCTTAAGCACTTTGCTGAGTATTAATCGAAGAGTTGCTACTCGCTCTGAGCAAGACCTTTCGGTTCAATTCGTTTTCTTTTCAGCTGAGCGACTTTGAGCTTCATTTAACTCAGCCGAACGATAGGTATAAAGCCAGAGCGGAAAACCCCAAAACGAAGGTCTGAAGATCGTCGAAGAACCGATCCGTTGCTCTCTGAGTCTTTTCACACTGTGTTAGTGACTTTCTGCAAGACACTTATGCGCAGGAATTTAGAAGCGCTTTAGATAAATCTAAAAATTCTTTCTATTGCATTAAATTTTCATTTCAATTTGCTGAAAATTAAAAAAGTAAAATTCCTTTCAAATTTTTGCTATTTGGTCACCCTATAAATACATATACATGCAATATATCTAGTAAATCAAGAAGAAGTAACTTTAAATAAGATGACAGCAATCACGGACTCAACGAGTTACTGCTTAAGTCACAGACAAAGTCACTGTCACAGTCGCAGTCACAGTCGCAGTCGCAGTCACAGTCTTAGTCACTGTCACAGTCACGTTTCTTCACAGACTTTTGTGTGTGTGCCAACTGTGTTTAAAGTAGATTTCAATTCATAAAAGCAAAAGAAGAAAAAGAAGAAACGTGCACGAAATTCAATTAAAAAAAAAAAAACAGAATTAATAAATAAATAAAAAAGAAGTAAATAAAACACACGACATATAATTTATTTGAAAAGTAAACAAATACAATATATTGAAAAAGTGAAAAGCAAATGAATGTAGAGATCAGCTGTGTAAATAGACGAAACGGTAAGGCGAGAAAAACTGTCAAATATATTTCAACAAAAAATAGTTTTCATTATTCAAACCCCGCCCGCGACTGGGCTCATAAATTATTTCTGTTGCCATAAGTTTCACTTGTATAATAAACAAAAAAGAAAAGACAGATGCAAACGATATTAAATATATAAAAGAAAATATATAAGTATAAATAGTACGATAAAGTATGAAAAAAAAAAATAAAAACTTATAATGATGACGCACTGAATCAAATAGATGAAACGAGTATTTAAAATATATATAAAAAAGAAAAGAAAAAAACAAAAAATAAAGAACGACAATTAAAAACCAAAATGAAAACAAAACTTAAACAAGAATTTTAAAAATACCAAAAAAAGAAAAAACGTTTGTTTCATTCGGAATTGCTTACAGCCATGGCTATTTCCAGGCGCTGATTGCGCTCATCCTGGCCAAAAGGCTGGCCACGACGGCGTCAAGTGAAGGCAGCGGCCAAGGCTCGAGGCGTGGCTCTAACTGGGTTGGTTGACCCGCATGGCGCATAAACCCGGGCCGAGCGATAGCCACAGGTACGACTATTGATGCCCCGCATTCCTTTTGGCCATACCCAGTACCACCTCCTCTGCCACGCCCACGCACACACAGGTCTTGTCATCTGTCTGGCTGTTTGCTCAACTGTGGCGCTGTTTATTGCCGCCAGCTGACTTCACTCGTCACTCGCTCTGCCTCTCTCTCTCTTTCACTCTCTTCCCCGCTCTCTCTCACTCTCTTTAGAGCCCTCTGACCATCAGCTGCATCACCTGCAGACTAGGCCAAATGGCGTTGATAAGCCCAACTGCGAGAGCTGCTCAAAAAATAGGTAAAATAGCAACTGATCCACGCGGCAGTAACCGACTGCCTAATACCTGTTAATACCTGGTAGTACTTAATCGGCTATATTAATTAAGTAGACTGCCTAATGCTAATAGTTTGCTCAATAATGAAAAATTACTAAACTTTATTATATTTTCCTGACTTATTATTATTTTTATTTTTTTCTTCATATTTTTTTCTGTTTTCATTTGTTTACTTTTATTTATTTATTGTATTTATTGCATTTATTTATTTATTTATTTAATTTATTTTTTCCTTAATTATTATTAATATTTTTTTCTGTTTTCATTTGTTTACTTGTATTTACTTATTTAATTTATTTTTATTTATTTATTTACTTATTTTTTTTTTTTTATTTTTTTTTTTTTTTTTTTTTTTGTTACAAATGAAACAAAGCCAAATTAATTTTGATCTTATTAAAATCTTATACAAAAATAAAATTAATGAACAACTGTTGCAGCACACCTCGCAGCTGTCATGTTATGTGTCTGCTGCTGCTGCTGCTGAGTCCACAAACATGCACAAATGTATTTGTATTTGCGCCGAGAGCCAATTGAAGTTGTTTACAATTGAGTTGCACGTTCAGCACAATTGTTAAACCAGCAACAACACTGACAACAACATACTGACTACAACACCAACAACATTGACTACAACAACAACAACAACACGAGAGAAAAACTTATTGCAAACTGATAAGCAAACTGTTGCCAGACACTGTGCAAAGTGGCCAACAATTTCAGTTACTTCTAAATGAGCATTATTCTGCTCAACATCATTATCAGCACGTATGCTCATCATCATCATCATTATTATTATGATTGTGGTTAGCTTGTATGACACATCAAATTCACTTTTCGTCCAAAAATCTGTGCAATCTGCTGACAGAAATTTCTTTAAACAATTCATGATTGCAAATCGATTTCAATTGATGCTGCATCTGTCTTATATAATCGCGCTGTCTCGCTCGCACACACGCGCGCTAGTCGCCTCACACTTATCTCAGCTAATTGTCGTTAACATAAACAACAGCAATTAATTTATGTTTGTTTTTTTTTTTTATGCTATTTGTTTAACTCTTTTTTTTTTTCCTTTTGTTTCTTTTGTATAATTTTTTGTTGACTTGACGTTTTTCGATTTTTTTATCAAGAAATTTACATGAATTTTCAGCTTGTTGCAAAAAGTCGAAACAATCAATTTTTTGCTGCTCGATTTATAAAAAGAAAAGAAAAACTAAATGCAGAAAAAATAAAAATAAATGAAACAATATATATATATTAAAAGTAATTCGGTAAAGCGCAAAGTTTTTGGCCAACAGCCGACAGACGCCAGCACGAAAATTGAGATATCGCAACTGGACAGTGCTTACAAAAAATATATGCACACAAATTACTATAATAATACTTTTTTATCGAGCTAAGAAAATATTGATATAATATTATAATAATAATAACGGAAAATTAAAATAAGTAATCCTAAAGAGGTGCTAAACTAATTTTCTTTACTCGTGTTTTACTGTACTTTCAAAAACGAAGCTCAGCTGTTTAATTAAATTCAAATATCTTATTAGAAGCTAGTAAATATTTCAGTAGCTCAAGTGTCAATTGTGCGCATTCTTACAGCGCTCACTGTTCTACAAATAAGCATAGGGTCAATGTGCTCCAAGTGCGAGACGGACTGAAACATGTAGATATAATTAAATTCTAAAGAAATTTCAGCAAAAATATTTCCTAAGATCAAATTTGAAAGAAGTGGCAAAAGAATAAAGATTAAAAAAAAAAAACTATTAATAAATGGCCAAACTTTGGCCGGAAAGGTCAAGTTTTGGTCTAGCGGGCGTAACAAAAGATAAACCTGTTTAGATATTTTGTATAATCATTTATATACAGGTATGTATACATTATATTTCTATACAATTCCAGAAGAAAGAAATGCTGAGCAGGCTCCACAGAAGAAACACATCTGTGCAAAGACTGACGACGAACATGAATTATTACAGGCAAACTGACTATTTATTATTATTTGAGTAGTTGTATGACGACGGTTTGGTACGTTTACAATCTGTTTAAATATTAGCGACCCAAATAATGCACAAAACGAAAAAAAGGTGTATTTCTGGCATCGACATTAAAACTCTAAACTGTGGACAACAATAACACAAATGCAGACATCAAATGGCGCACAGTGGCGTCCCACGATATTGTGCCACTGCACTATGGGGAATTTTGCCGTTTTTCGGGTATTTAGTCATTTTTGCGAAGTATGAAAATTTATAATTTTTTTATGTTAACATCTTAATAAAACTCCAAACTTTAAGGTACTGTACCCAAAATGTTGAATAACAGTCCACTGTTAAGCCTAACAGCTGTTAAAGTCAGCTGTTATCTTCGAAAAGCATTTGCCTTCAGCTTACAATTTGTGTTAGCCGATTTTCAAATCATCGTTATTCAATGACCAGACATTATTTTTGAGAAATTTAAAAAGGATATGAATTTTTAGGGCTTCTACTATGCGTTGGCTTAAAAACCAATTGATGTTTGAACTTATTTTAATCATTTATTGTATAATTAGCAAATGTTGTCAAATTTCATTTCTTGTAAATAAAATTAAACTTTGCAAAGACATATAAAACAGCCACCAGGGCGCACCAGTGTAATTCCAATTGCATGTTATAGAGTAATCAATTGGGATCTTAGTGCCTTTGTCTCAATGTGCACTTTTGCGCACAACCGGCGCAAATCAATTTTTAGCAGGTGACTATGAGCTGACCTGTGTGATATTTGGCTCAATGAAAAAGGCAACTCTAACCAAGAAATAGTAATTGTGATTTTGAAACTAAATAAGACTAATATTGATTCAACTTATAAATGATATTAAAAAAGCAAAAGCCGCTTTTTTTGCCAAAATATAAATTACAAATGGAAGAAATGCAGCAGGAACAAAAACTAGCTGACAACTATGAATGACTGCCTATGACAGCAAATGTTTATAAAAATAATTGTTCATTTGAGGCAGATTATGGAAAGTACTGTTCATCCTGTAGGCTTTTTTGGTAAGGAAGCGTCTGATTTGCCCAACCAGGTCTATAAATCAGACTAATTTCATCATGCATGAGAGCATGAGAGCAGAATCCATAATTTCGCTGATGGTTTTTAACAATGGATACATCTGATCAGATTATTTCTTCGGCAAATCTTTAGAAAAGAGTTTGAAAGCATAAAGGTCGCTGTCTAATGAAGTTGTACGTATTGTATTATGTAAAGTTGAAGGCACAATTAAATCAGTTGAAGAACCCGAATTTTTTTAGCGGATCAATATTTCTGGCTGATTTGGAACTCGAAACTGAAGAAAACTAATTTCGATTTTATGAAAGTTCGATTGTTTTCAATTAAAATTATTATTTTAAAGTATGAACAAGCAAAATTCTTAAAAAAAAAAAATTTTTAATACAAAATTTTAATAAATTTTTTTTGGGTGGGCGGTGACACGCCCATTTTTCTAAAATATATTTCTGATGGTATACATATTAATAATACAAAAACCGGATCAAAAAATCTGGCTTAGTTTTTAAGTTATTAATTAATACCCGATAATTTGGATTTTTCCCCATAGTGCACTGGCCCATGAGTTAAAGAGCGCAAACGAAGAGAGATGTTCGATCGAATGAGTGTGCAAAAGAAAATGGTAAAAGCAGTTGGCAGCTGGCAGCTGGCAAAAGCAGTAACAGCAACAACAAACGGTAAACGTAACTAGCGCTCAGCGCAGACGCAAACGTCGACGTTGCGACGAAGCCGCCGCAGCTACAGCAAAGCCGATCAACATTTGAAGTTGGGCCAAAAAGGCGGCCAAACGCTCACAGGAACATTCAGTTGTGCCGCGAACGTTGTGCGCTACACACGTGACTCTCTCAGTCTCTGTCGCTGTCGTGCCGGGCTGCCACATAACCGTTAACGGTTAAACGCAAAAAAGCTTACAGCACTTACAATAACAGCAACTGCAATCTTGTGACAGTGTGAAAGAAGAGAATTAGAAAAGCTGCTCAACGCTGAGCCAAGAGTGTACTACATTTTGTCTCTGCGTATGTGTGTGTCTGTGTGCGAGTGAGTGTGCGCGTGTTTGCATTCGTGTGTATTTGTGTGCTTTGTAAATGTCTCTGAACACAGATCGTTCGTACAAAATGAAGCTGCGCGATGTGGAAAATGCCTTCAAATACAGGCGCATACCTTATCCTAAGCGGTAAGTCATTAAAGATAAAATATAAAAAATTTAAAAAAAAAAAAAGTAAATTAAGATATTTATATAATTTTATATATTTTTGCATGGTTGTTATGCTAGTCTTTTGGGTCGAAATTGGTTTGATGCATGTAATGGCAAACCGGTCATAATTGCTTATTGGACTCCAATTAGACTTGACGTGCACTCAATTCTTGCTTGATTCTCAGTTGTTAACTTTCGGTTTTTCAACTCGCATCGAGCAAAAGTGAAACGTTTTTTTTTTCTTGTGAGCCGATCTGAACCGATTGCAAGTGAAAAAAATCATATAAAAACGCATTTCATGGTCAGCTGCAACTGCAAAGGCAGCTGCCGCTGCCGCCGCATTAGCCATCCAATCAGAATACTCTTAACGTGCTCCAGTTTCAAATAACTTGAAGTCAACTCAAAATTTTTTTGCTGTTTGTTGTTTTTCAATTGTTCTGCAGTCATATTTTATTTCGGGGCCAGTTTTTTTTTTCTGTTAGCCAAAAAAAAAGAAAAACCTCGAAAACTCAAACTCAAACTAAAACTCAAATTCAAACTCAAGTATCTCAAGTAGCTACAGTGCCCACGCCAGCTACCGATTCTTCTTCTTCTTTGTTGGTTTTCTTTTCATCGGTTTTTGTTTAGGTTCTGGCCTGCCTTTTAAAGCGCTCAAATGATGGCTGGCCGGCTGGCGGGCTGGCCGCTCATTAGGCGCTGCCCGGACTATAGCGGGCCGGGCCATTAGTTAAGGTGTTTTGGCCACGTTGCGCTGCGTCCGCTTATTGTGCAACTTGTGGCAAGACCCAAATGTGTTGCAATTGAGAGCGCATTAGATGTAAGCTAATGATATACCGAACAAACACTTGTTATGGCCTAATTGGTATTTGAAAAAAGCCAACGCAAAAAAAAGGCGTTGATTGTTGATGTTGCGGCTTTTCTTGTAGGTGTGGGAATTTGCTTTAGCCTCAAGATGAATAAACATTAGGAAAATGTTAATGAAATAAAAACAATCAGCAGAGCGGGCATAAATGAAATTCATAACGAATCACAGCAGAGATATGGGCTTATAGTGAATTTTATTTTATTTTATTATATTTTTTTATGCCTATTCTCAATAAATAATAATTTTGAATAGTTTTAGGTACCTTTACGCAAATATTTAATATTAAACAGTTTAAAATGTTAATTAAAAAAAATAATAAAAAATAATTATTATTACATTCGGGTTAATTTTTTATACAAAATTAAAAAATTAAATAATAATAATTTGTTTATGTTGTTTTTTTTTTTTTTTTTTTTTTTTGTATTTTAAGAGTTGAACAATTTAATTCCACCACAGCTTCATACCAAATTACTTAATAACATATTTATATCTGCTGCTGTCTAGTAGAGCTAATTAAAGTTAATGTCATGCCAATCAAAATAAATTAAAAAAAAAAAAAAAAAAAAAGAACTACATGCTAATGCTAAAATGAATCAATAATTAACAGAGTTTTGATAATTTAATTAATATTGAAATGAGATAAAATATTTATTTAAAATGAAAGTATTTTTGATTAAGCGAAATTGCACTTAAATAAACCACTTAAATTTAATGCAATGAATAAAAAAATAATAAAAAAAAAAAAAAAACAATATTATGCAATTGAAATATTGCAACTTATAATGAAAGAACAATATTATTTTTATATTAGAATATATATTCATCTCAAAAATGCTTTGTTTTTAAAAAAATTATTTATTAAAAAAATTATTGTGGTTGTTGTTATTATTATGTTATGCCATTTTTGTACACCTCATATAAGTAGTTATTCCTTATAATTAATTTCATGGATAATACGAAGAGCAGAACTGACGCTGATTTCAGTTAAAATAAATACGAGTTAATAAACACGTATTTAATTATATTTTCCAATATTGTTGTCATGTTTAAATAGTCGCCCGTCTGTTAAGAAAATAAATTACTTATTTATAAATTAATTGCATTTAACTTTTCGTCGGGGGTTTGCATTAAATTTTACGCTCATTTTGACAATTTGTACGCTTCGGTCGTTTGGCTATTTTAATTTAGTCAGTCGGTCATTCATTCAATCAATCAATTGGTAAACAGCTTTTAATTGGTATTGCAATTAACCGAAAAAAGAGTGAAAAACTTTTGTTTACACCACAAAATAAAATAAATATTTGTTGCCGTATTGCCACACTGGAAAGATTTTAACAAAATCAAAATAAACTACAAATATTTATGCGGGCATTGAGCTTTTATTTGCATTACTCGTGCCCTTTTGCTGTTGTTGCTGCCGCTGCTTAATTGATATTAATTAAATTAATTAATTGCAAAATCGTTGCATCGTTTGATCAACAGGACTCGCTACAGTGCACTGCAGTGGTTAACGTGAGCAGCTTTTGAGTGCTTGATGTTTAAAAATGCATACATAAAAATGCACTTATTAATTAACTAGCCATTTTATGCACCTCTTGTTGAATTTAAACAATTAAATTACATTCATTACAGAGAATGCTAACTAGGAGAGTGCTGAACAGTGGGAAAGTACAGTAGCAGTAGCTTATTAACAGAACTGTCAGAGAACATTATCTCTCAATCGTGTATTAACATCAGTAGCACTGTTAAGCACGTTAGCACTTGTTATTGTCCTTGAGTTCTTCTGGTTCTCATCAAAGCTTTACAGACTCTCACACACACACACAAGTATCTATTGCTGTTCACTCTTTTTATGTGTATATGCATGTATGTCTGTTAGTAAAACAATTGTTATGCCGCATGCAATGCATGCAGCTATCAATAAAATTCGCTTGTATGCATATAATTGCATATATGCATATGTATAAATCTATTACCACACAATAATGTGACGTCACATGCTACGAGCTGTGTATATTCAATTAGAACTTTTACACTTTCACATACTTACGTCTGTCTCCCTTGTAAACCGACTCAACTCACTCAACATTCTCCTCTATAGTCCCGCTCTCTTCTCTCATCATTGGCATTTAGCAGCTACTGTTGCTGTTGTTGTTGCTGTTATTGCTGCTGTCTTCTTTGATCTTAGCGTCGCAATGCCGACGCCCGCTGCTTCTGCACTGCTTGATAGCAATTATGCCAAGCACTGCTTGATGACAATTAAATGATTTGGCTGGCAGACAGACATTCAATAGAAATCACTTGCAGCAGTTGGGCGCATTCAAGCTACATAATTATTGCGGCTTTCTTGTATTAGGTGTGACTGTTTGCCAAATCAACTTCCATACGCACACATACAATCATACAGTTTTTCTGTTTGTACAAACAATTTATTAGCTGTTGGCCAGTAAATGTTCCGTTCGTTTGTTTTGCGTCTTTGGCTTTTCCGTTTCATGCTTTTTATATTTACAACAAGAATGTGCAAGCTGCTGCCGCTGCAGACGGCAGCGAAAGCTTTAACAGTTAGCTGGCGTCTGGACTTTTTTTTACATTGACCGGCGGCGCCTGGCTAACAGGCTAGCATGTTACACATATGCTGGCGCCATAACAGTTGAGTCTTAACATTTACATGTATGTACATATGCCGCTGCTCTGTTACCCGCATCTGTTGGCTTGCCATGTTAACAGATCTTTTCGCACGCAATTTAATGCGAGTGAAAGCCTAAAATTGTTTACATTGCTGCCAACTATTATAGCCATTTTATAACCGCAACTGTTTAACGCCTTTTGGTCACACAAATTTTTTAGATGTTGACTAAAACGAGACACAGACACGCACGCCCACACTCCAAATTGCCAAGACTCTACTATAACAGTCCATTATGTTTATAAGAAAAGAGAAACAAGAGTTTCAAGAGAAATGGGACTAAGCGACTTTTGCATAGTCTTAGTGAGTTCCATAAGCAACGCCCACCCACAAAGGGCAGCTGTTATATTATGTAAAACGGTCAAAAGTTCGCTATGTTTCACTGTGTAAACACTAAATTGAAAAATGCAACAACAACAATAACAACAACAAATTATAGACAATATATAGTAGAAGGTAAAAACTGATTAACACAATCATGTGAAAAATGTGCAACACAACAGTTTTGGCAGAAAAATAACAAACAACAGCAAAAAGTGGAAATGAAGTGAATAGCTTTCACTTGATATACAAATATGGACATGGCGGAGTCCGTCGACGAGTGGGCGGGGCGGACAATGCGTAATGTTAACGATAATGTACATCATAGTTGTTAAAGCGTTTGTTGTTGTCGTTGTTGCTTTAGTTGGCACGCGCGACTGACTTGCAGTGCAATGCAAATGTCTTTAATATATAAGGGAAATAATAATAAAGAAAAGGTGATGTATAGGTAAATATTCACGCTAACGAAAATGGGTTAATGGGTTGCTATTATTGTACATTATTTGGCACGTTACATAACACTACTAATTTATTAATAACATTTTTATTAAAACATTTTTTAATACAATTTTATTATTTTATTGATTACTTTTATATTTATTGATACCTTTCATAAAATTTGCTTTAAATAAATTTTGCATTATTAAATTGTGTATCAATACTTTTTTTCAATAACATTTTTATTGGTAATAATTTTTTTTAAATACCAATAAAAATATATTCATAATATTAAAATAGTATTTCAATCAAACATAAGTAGCTTATTAGCTGAATATCAAATTTTACTTTAAGGTCTGTTAACACTTTACTGTTAATAACACTTAACATTTTATAACACTTTGCTGCTGCAGTCAGCTGCTACAAATCACTGTTTAATTTCTTGATTGGGGCACACTTTGACAATTCGCTAAATTTCTGACTCAGCTGGTCAACGCAAACCACTTAGCAGCTTCAGAGTGTTCGATTCATATGTATGTATATAGATATATATAAAAAGTTAACTGGATCAAAATTCAGCTGGATGCTAATTGCTCTTTTGCAATTGAAGACGAACGCTGACGCCCCTTTGCTTTCACTTTACGCCCTTTTTTTTGTGGCGGTGTCGGCATCTAATCGATTGTGACAGTTCTGCGGCCGCATTGCCTAATGGTCGAGGAGCCACCCAACCACCGCACCACCCAGCGCGAAGTCAGTTTTCTACGCTCGCTTAGTAAACCGAGCATGTTCCATGGTCCACGCTCTTTTTGGTGCCATAAAAAATTCTGCTCGCCAAGTAGCTGGCGCCCATAAATCTGCGCCGTGTGCTGTAGTTAAGGTGATTTACATACTCGAAAGACTCCACTCTGCGTCTACATCGCTGTCTCCATACTTTACGCCAGGTAGTTACTCACTTTCGCTCGTCTATGAGTACAGCAATTGCAAAAAAAAAAAAAAAAAAAAAAAACCTAGATAAATTAAATTGGAATTTGTTGCCGCTGTTTAAGCAAATACAAAAAGCAAAAAACAATTTTTACAACTCTTGCATTAAATTTCAATATGATAAAAAAGAAAACAAACAAATTTTATGCAAACAACTGATCTGTATAAATAAGATTCAGCAGAACAGATCTGCTTTCAGATTTATTATAGTTATAATAGTATAACAGTTTAGTACAGAAGTGAAAGGCTCTGATGAATCCGAACTTTGTAATCATAATAAATCTTAGCTGATATGAAAAACATATAAATGTTCTGAGATTCGCTTTGAGCATAACAGTATAATAGTTTTCTCAAAAGCAGGGAAAGGCCGAACAATGACTATAGATTTGTTTGAAGTATAATAGTATAACAGTTTTGCTCAAAGCGTATAGAAATGCCCTAACAAAGATTATTATTATTATTGTATTATTTTTTAATTTTGGTGAATTAATCCCTTCTTCAAATAGAACAAATTTATTAGATTACGTGTTCTAAACGTTTCATCAAGCTAAGCAAATTTTAGGCATAACTGTATAATAACACTTAAATAGTCTAACTTAACTTCTGTTCACATAAGAGTTTGTCTATTTAAGATTCGTTAGCTGTTAAGGGAACGTACAAACATGTCCATTAAATTGATGCCTCTAGGCAGATTCTTGTTAATGAACCAGAGCTATGGGGGCTAAGACTCACCCGTAGCTCTGTTTGTTCATTGTTTATTGTTGTGAAAGGCTGAAATCAAAAATGGATTTTAATGATAGCAAACAGCAAGCATCGAACAGCAGCAAGCATATTGAAGTTTGAGCAACATGTTCGTAAAACATAAATCTCTTCAATCATTTTTTTCTTTTCAATATATATATATATTTTTTTAGTCTAGTCAATGTGTTACCAGCCACGTGCTGTGCGGCCCAAACTCTCGTTTCTCAGGCGTATTAAGGGCATTCCCATTTTGCCCATATTACGTCGTGTTTTCTGCTTCTTTCTTTGTTCATTTTGATTGACCGCCCGCTGCTGCCGGATGGGCTCAGTGCTGTGCGACTGTGTGGCAGGTGCTGTGACCCACACGTAACTTGAAGCAAATCGCAAACAGCGCACCTTTCACCAAAATTAAACAAAAATCAATAATAGATCTCAGAGTAAAGCGTACCTAGTTGAGTGCTTTGCATCTTTGCTCAGCTGCCTTTCTATGCAGCTGAGTCGCATGGCCAATCGACTAGCTCATGCGTGCAACTAGCTTAAATGAATTTCGGTTGGCAATGCGGCGTGCCAACAATTGTTCAGCTTCCTGAATGGCAAATCTATAAACTGGTTGCTAACTAGAAGAGCTTGTTTTCAGAAAAAGCTAATCAATCAATGTAATATACAATTTTTTTAAATAATTTATAAATTGTTTTTAATGTTTATAAAAATTATTTTATATTTTTTACTTCATTTTAATGCATTAATAAATTTTTTAAATTTTTTTAAAACTATATTTAAACAGGATTTTTAAACAATTAATTTTGATTAAAATTATAAAAATTTGTTTCAATATTAAAAAATATTATTTTACATTTTTAAATGTATTTTAATGTACCCATTCAATTTTAAAATTTATTTCAAACTCAGGCAGCTTTGTCCTTAAATATCATTAATTTTTATATATTTTCCATTGGTAAGACAATGGAAAATATATTGAATAAAACTACTTAAATTGGAAATTAATAATGTTAGCGTTTAGTTAAATTGGATGGCACCACTTTACATTATCGCACACTATGCGCGCAATTTGTGAGTTCAAGCCGGATCTGCCGAGAGTACGCAGCGGCGAGAATTTAACGGGACAGATTATATTGAAGACAAGAGCTGCGGAATCTATCAAAAGTATTTACATCACATTTATTGGCCGGGCAGATGTGCATTTCGAGGAGACACTCGTTAATCGAGAAAGTGACGAAAAGACACCCGAAAGACTTGTCTCGACAGCAACCGAGACTTATTTGACATATCGGACAGAAATTTTCGGCAAGGGAAAATTGCCAAAAGGCCAACATACCTTTGCATTTGCAATACCACTTCCATCGCACTGCCCCTCCTCAATCTCGAGCAAATTCGGGAGGGTGTGGTATGAGCTGTCACTCGTAATAGAACGTAAGTGGAAGGTGAATAGGATACACAAAACGCCGATAGATGTGGTGCAGCCCTACGATCTAAGCTCAGATCCCAAATCTCTGGTCCCCATTGAGCATGAGGCAATTAGAAAACTTTGGCGCTGGCCCTTTCGGCCGGGCATAATCAATCTGTGCCTCAAAGTACCATCTGGTGGGTATTCGCCTGGCCAGAAAATGAACTATACCCTGGATGTCCATAATAAGTCGAAACGTATAGATGTTAAGAGCTATACAGTGACTCTAGTCCAGGAGTCCGAATACTTTGCCAATGGGTATCGACGCGTAAGCCCGCGGTCTGTCTACAGCGAAACAAAGAGTGAGGTAGTGAAGCATCTGACGAAACGAACGATAAGTGCCAACTACGAAATACCATCAGTGGCGCCCTCATCTCAGATGAAGAGCATAATCAAGGTATCGTATAAGCTACGGCTAACTGTAATATTCTCCGGTTGGCACCTGAAATGGTATATCGAGGTGCCCATTACAATTGGCACAAGCCCATTGGCTTCCAGCTCAGATGGTGGCTCCAAGAAGCCGCGTAAAAGAAGTAAGCCTGCTTTACCAAGACCAATGCCTAAGAAACGCAGCACCCACTCATGTTCATCGGGTGCTTCGTATGTAAGTCTACCAAAGCGGGCTATCAAGAAGAAAGATTTATCGGATGTATCGGATGGTGTATCGGATAGTGAATTGGGAACTGTAACAAACATCCCCCCAGAAGTCGTGCCGAAAGTGTGTTCAACATCTCTATCTCTCCAACTAATTTCAATCCTATACGCTGAATTCTTTTAAAAACAACAAATTTCAACACTTTGGACTGGCTGCTGATCTAAAAATTTTAATTTGTAAATTGCTTTCTAATTCAACAATCTTAGACAGCTTTGGATTTTATTCACTCTTTTATATAATTGAGACTACATATGAATATAAGACTAAGAATTCGAAATTAACAATGGTATTTTAAATTCAATTCAATCAATTCAATCAATTGGTGCTCGATGCTTCCCTTTGACATGTCCACCGTTTGTGAGTTCATGTTCGATCGGCCCAATGCAGTGTTGTACAGCGGCGATAAAATCACGGGAAAGATTGTGTTAAAAACAACTTCGGCGAAAGCTGTAAGTGGCATCTATATTCTGTTTGTGGGCCTGGCGCGAGTTGCCTTCGATGATACGCGCAGTGCTCATACCAGTGACGAGCTGAGAAACGAAAGATTCGTCTCAACGGCAGTCGAGACGTATATGCGATATCAGCAGAATGTTGCCGAGAGAGGCCAACTATCGGAAGGCACACACACCTATACATTTTCCATTGCACTGCCGGCCCATTGCCCCACCTCGTGCCTGGGCAAATACGGCAAAGTGTCATATGAGCTGTCGCTCGTCATTAATCGCCTGATGATACTCAAGAAGGTGTTCCGCAAGCCGCTGGCCGTGCTGCAGCCCTACGATCTTAACCTGCATCCAGAGATGTTACGGCCCATTGAATTGGAGAGGACAAGAAAGTTTTGCTGCTGGCCCTTTGGCGGTGGCTCCGTCAAGCTGAAACTCCACATTCCATTCGGTGGCTATGTGCCAGGGCAGACGATCAACTATAGCCTGGATGTGGATAATATGTCGCAGAACGTTGATCTCAAGGCCTTCATGATGACCTTGATACAGACCTACACATTCAAGGTGGAAAATACGCGACGCGTAGTTCATACATATATGCGCGGCAATCGAGAGACTCAGCGCGTGGCTCATCAGACGAAACGAAAGCTAAATGGCAGCTACGAAGTGCCTACGGTGCAGCCCTCGTCCCAGGGACCCCACATAATAGATATATCGTATAAACTAAGACTAACTGTCATATTCACCGGCTTTCATCTGAAATGGAACATTGAAACGCCGATTACTATCGGCACGATTCCATTGAAGCAGAGTGGCAATCGTGACCAGACGAAAGAGTTCGTACCCGATGCCGAGAAGATCTCAAAAAGCCAAGTGGATCGGCCGGCTCTATACACTAGTACAACACTCCTCTTCCAGAGTCCAGAGAAGATACGTAAGCATTTCGTGGACCCTCATGAAGAGAGCAGGAATCGCTCAGACGATTTCATACCGATCTACACCGTTTATGCCTACTACGCACAGCCCAGATCGTCGCTCAAAAGACGACGAGGGCTTACCCCGAACAAAGCAAAGGACTCGTCATCCGAGACTGCTTCGGAAAAAGATATGATCCTAGATCCAGATCAGACTCCAAAAAAACCAACAAATTAAGTAATGCTTGTAGTATGAACGACGAGCGTTTTAAATTATTATTTTCCTTTCTGTATTTATTGAAAACGTCTATTCAGAGCTTATATATAAATACTTATTCTCTATGCTGGGAACTTAACTTGGTTTAGGTTAAAGAAATTCAGCTTAGATGTTGATGGAACTAATATATATTGTATATTTTCTATTTTCCTCTTACAAACCCTCTTTCTTCCCTTCTCCCTTCCTTTCTCATATAAATATCCATATATCCATATATACTTTTAAGCCGCATCGTTTCTCTTCGGCTTCTTAAAAATAGAGCAAACTTCCCATATATTTTTTTGGTTTTTTGTTAGTAAATCTTTAAAAAGATTATTTTAATTATAAATACCGACAATCTTATATAGTTTTGTACGTTTGTCCATTCACTTATGTTGACTTCATTTCATGTTTCGGCAACAATTTTATTGTTTTGTTAACGTGTAGCTTTTGTTGCTTCGGACCACTCCTCAGCGATGCTGAGATGCTGAAAAATGCAGTTTTCAAATTTTAATTATAGTAAACGCTTAAAAAAAAAAATTGTAGACTGGACCGGCTCTGGACCTGGCCTAGACGCAGCCACAACCAGAGCCAGAGGCTCCCCCAGCCCCAACCCCAACCCCAACTCCGCCTTGTGGTTAGCCGCTGCCCAAAGCCAACAAACACAAATGGCAGAGCACATGACTCGAATGTGACCATTGCGTCATAGGAGTGCACTGCAATGAACAAAACTAAAAATAAAAATAAAAAGTTGTAACCATGCACAGCAACCGCATATTTGTCGTGAGCATTTTGTTACAATTTCAATTTGTTGCTCCGAGACTTGTCTTCGAGTCTTGTGAGTGCGCGGGGTCGTTCGGGGTCTGTTCGGCCGCTTAGGCGGCATTGGCTGCGACTCGCCTTTGTTTTTTTACGATCTTTTTCTTTCTTAGCTTTTGGTTTTTTTGTTTTTTTATTTTGAAAGTGCATTCGACTTGGTCTTGGCCAATATTTGGCAACAACAAAACCAAATGGCAAAAACTTGAACTGCTTTATTGCAGTTTTCGGATTCTTTTTAGAGCAAACTGCCGGCCTTTTATGGTCTTTTCTTCTTCTTCTCCTTTTTTTTTTTGTAGTTTTCTGTGCTAGCTGACAATTTTGAAGTGTGCGAGCATTAGGCGTGGGCTTCAAGTGCAATTGATTTCAGTGGCCAGCATCAATTATTGGCACATTGAGCTGTTGCTGCGTTGGCTTTAAAGGAATGCCGCTTTAAATGGCCATTGAAGGCCGAATTTTAGATCATTTAAAAAGGGGATGTGAATTAAAGAATGAATTTATTTTGAAAATGATGCATAGTTAGAATTATTATTATTATTATAAATAAATATGAATAAAATATACTATGTATGTATATATAATGTACTATACTATACACTCTACAACTCTACAATACAAATGTATTATTACGTCTATTTTGCAAAATCCTAATAATAAATATTCTCACATAAATTAAGTATACGCAGTGAAACTCTCTGTTTGGCTAAACGAAAATTCTAATTTCGCTTCTCTTTCCACTCGCTCTTTAATCCTCTCTTCTAATATAAAAATAAAATAAAAATGATTTGTATATGATAAATGAAGAAAACAATAAATAAATAAAAAATAAATAATAAATTAATAAATTTAGAGATCTTTTTAAATTAAATTATAACATAGTCAATAGTCAATTCATTATATTATTAATGCGTGAATAATATTTTAAAATAAAATTATTTTTAGAAACTGAAACCTACTTAATGTGTTTAATGCTTAGCTGCCAAAAATCTATATCAAAATATTTTCTTTATAATTATTATTATTTTTTTATTATTTCTATATTTGTTTATTACATAATTTTAATACATTTTATTTATAAATTTTATTTATTAATTTTTTTTAATTTATTTATTGATTTATTTTTTTAACATAAGATTTTATTGCAAAGCATTTTTATTTTTATATTTATATTAGAAGAGAGGAAAAGAGCGAATGGAAATATTTTACAAGTAAAGATTGTCCAATTCTGATTGGTTTACAATTTTCTACGTTATACAATAGACAGAAATTCACACAGATTATTATTCAATGTTTACCTGCTTTTCTACTTTATATAACTTTTAATTGAAAATAGGGTTTAGATTTTCTATACGCCGAAATCAACTCTAATTGGTTTATGATTTGTTGTTTCTTACATTTATTAAATAATAATTATTTGAAAATCTGATACAGATCTTCTATAGCCTTAAATCAGCTCAGATTGATCGATATGCCATTTTCCGCTATAATTATTAAACAGGCTTTCACCTAAGATTAACGCCTATTCAATGATCTTTGAGTGCACACACACTTTTCCCTAGAAAATTGGCCAGCGGCAAAAGTGAGAGGAAATTAGCTCTTAGACGGAGTGTAAATTGATAATTTACTCGATTGCAGCTAGAAAAATGATTTCAATTTAATGCTCTCTATGCACGGCAAATGCCGGCAGTTGCGCTTCAGGAAAGTCGGCTGGCATTATGCCTGCTGAAGAAAAAGGCGATTATTTGCAATAGAGTCTTAGCATAATGGCATAAAGTGCCTAAGTTGTGCGAGCGATCCAAAACTGAAAACTTGCCATTCAAATTGGTGTCAACCAGTCAACGGGACGCCGAAGAAAGTGGCGCCAGCTTCCTAGCAGCAGCAGCAGCAGAGGCAGAGGCAGCGGCAGAGGCAGCTGACGCCCGCCTTGCCAGGCGAAGGCTTTAAAGTAGGTCGTCAGCGTCTGCAACTCGTTTTACTTCACACACACACACATACTACTTGCATATAAAAATATCAAACAGAATGCGTCCCAAGGGAGTTGCTGCCCACACACTCACCAATACACAAACACACTCACACTCACACAACTAGAGCCTGGTTAGTCGAGTCTAAGTTGCATTAAAAATTAAATTTTATTTGCAGAGCTCGCAACTCGCATGCTTTCAATTTTATGCCAATCGCTTGGAAATTAATTAAGCAATTTCCCTCGCAGATTTTCCTTTATTTTTCTATACTCTCTCCCTCACTCTCCCCTCTCTCTCTCTCTCTCTCTCTCTCTCTCTCTCTCTGTGTAATATGCATTTATGCTAATTGTTAGGAGTCTAGATTATGGGCGGACAGCTGCAGCAGCACATGGCGAAAGTTGTAGACATGCACGATTATGTTTTTTTTTTTTTTTTTTTGGCAAAAATATTGAAGCTCCGCAAGTAAATTGAGTCAATGAAGCGGAAATTGCAAAAACAGAGACTGCTAAGTAATTGAAGTTCTGTTAAAGACTCATTTATGAGCAGCAAAGTGCAATTTCGATAATCAATTCAGCTCGCTTTAAGCTCGCTGCAGCTGAGCTCAATTGATAATGGTAATGTGGCATTTGCTTATCTGGGCCCAAACAGCTAACCCGGCTATAATTGGAAGCGTGTGCTGAAAGCCTCCACCTGCTCTGTAGCCTGCTTTGTATACCGCTCTGTATACCGCTCTGTATCCCGCACTGTATCCTGCGCCGTATCCTTGCTTGAGAGCTGAACGCCATGCAGGCGTTAAATGAGTAGCGTTTGACAAGTTTCTTGTTGTTGCCAAGGCTATGGCTGAGATCAGAAATTAGTGTGCCGAGCTGCATGCCAGCATCCTGACCT